GGCTTAGTTTATTGATAAAAATAAATGCATAATCCACATAGTCAGTGATGACGCATTTGGCTGATGTACTACCATATATTTGGATGATTTATTGCCCAATTACACGAACTTACTTTGTCTTTAAACAGCCACATTAAATAAACATTATAGCGAAAATGCGAAAAAAATGAAAATTGGCAAATAAATTTGTAAATTAGTTGCATGACCTTAACGAAAATAATCGTAAGGGCTGGACTTATACAATACATATGTAAGTATGTACTCAAATAAGGGCGAGGCATTGGCATTGCTACTGAAAAACTTGGATTTAAAGCTTGAGGTCGAGCTCGCCCTTTTGAGAGATGCCTTTCGTTATGCGTAATACAAGAGGGCTTTTGTGGACTGTTTGCTCACTTTGTTGTAAGTTAATGCAAATTTATTGATAATTTATGGCGGGCACGTAGCACACATTGTTCAAAGTAACTGTAACTCCGGATAATCAACAATTGTGCAAACAGTATTGGGCCAGTCAGCTGACTGCCTGGCTGCCTGACTGCCTGACTAGCACTGATCATTCCCATGATAAATAACAATTACAATGTTGATTTTGTTACTGTTTTTTGTGCCTCTGCCTTGCTTATATAATGAGATAAATAAAACTGTAAATTGTGGGCAGCTTAGCGGGGCAGTCGATTAAATTTACAACAACTTTGGCGGCTCGATTACGAAACGCGAGGCGCTCGTGTGCAGTGGAATGCATTGAGGCATGTGGAATTACACGGCATTGGGCTTAACGTGACTCACGGCTGTTCGCAGCACCCACCTGTATAAATAACGATTACTAAACATCGCATTAAATATGGACAACCGCTTTGCTTGACACTTGCTCGGCCACATCGATGCCGATCGATTTATGTGACTTATGAGCTCGAGAGGTTGGCGCCACATGCGTGGGAGGTTCGAGGAAGCTCCCTGAGAACAGCCGCGACACCGAAAACGCATCAATGGCAGCATCTGCCAAGTGTGTCAAGGTGGATCGGTTAAGTTCAATGGCATTTGAAGCGGTTTGGTGCCACATTTCCGGGCCCAGCAGGCGCATTTATATCAATTACTCGTGCCAGCTGCGAGAATGCAAATTAATTGAGAACGAACACATTTCTAAAAGGCGATTTGTATTTGCGACTCAATTAGTCGAATGGCAAATTGATTGCCAAATGCCTAATGAAAAAACCAAAGCAAATCAAAATCAAATATGCGTAGACAAACAAAATGAAATGTTTTTCGATAAAAATGCAAATGATGCCAGTTATGGTTGTTGTCGATCTTTCACGTGAATCGCCGCCTCGCTCAGCTCAGTCATCTCAATGGGCCACATCTGCCCGCCCCCAAGGGGAATGAAGTAAGCTTTTGGCTGGTGTGAGTGTCTGTGTGTGGGGGCAGGTGGGGGAGCTAAATTAATTTTGTCACATGACTGGATTCCCCACAATGACAACAACCAACAGCAACAGACAGAAACAAACCAAGCCGGTCGCGTATAATTTTACATTTAAAAGTAGGGGCAGTCACGACTAAGACAACATTTTGCAAAAATACAGCGAGACTGGACAGAGAAGAAACACAAATTGAAACTGAAACCAATAATTTCCAGCTATCTGTTTTGCTTTAATTGGAAGACAAAAACGTACACCGTTCTTTTATTCCAAATACTAAACAATTTCGTAAAAGAAACAATTAATCGACAGTATGGCCGTCTTTAAATTTTCTTTCATTTTATTATTTACCGAATTAGTAAGGCGATTTTTATGAATTCCTCCATAAAGCCTTGTTCGATAATCTGCCATAAAAAGGAGCATTAAACTATTTATTTTTTATTGCTTTCTATAATTTTTAAAATACAAACAATTCCCATCTGCACAAAAAGAAACTTTTTAATATAATTTATTTAATATAATGGTTGTATAATATAATTGATTGTATCTTTTGTTTGCTATTGTTCAGATTGTGGGAAGAGAACCCTTGGTTTTATCTGATAAACTATATGTGAAAGAGCTAGGAACTTGTGAAAAAGTTAGTTTTTTTAATTATAAATATTATGTCTACAAAAATTAATCGTTTAATCTAAGTCAAAATAGAAATGTCATTAATTCAGAGACACTCCATTAAACGCCGTTCTGCTCCTTCGTAAAAAAGCTTCATACTAATCAAATCTGCGAAAGTATTTTAAAAGCAAAACGATTTGTCCTACTTTTTACACAACAAACAAATGGAATTATTCCACTTTGTAGCTTTTTAAATAGCACAGTAAAACTTAAAGAAGTCATTGGGTTAAAAAGGTTTAATGTTTATATTGTCAGCAGAGGGTTCAAGGCGTTCGCAATTTCTTTGTTCCAAGTTCGTACAAAAAAAAGGAAACAGACAAATCAACAATTTGACTCAAAATTTCTCTGATAAAAACAATAATATGTTCGCTTATAATGAGCAGACATAAACAGCATTTGTGGGTAAAAATAATAACTGAGTATGCCGGAAATAATTACATAGCAGTAGACATTACAAATTAGCCAAATTAACTCGCTTGATTATAATCAGGTTTGCAAAAAAGTGTAATTTAAATTTTCCCACTGAGAAAGGCACTAAGTGGCGCTAAACTTCAAACATTTAATGCATTTGTGGCGACCACAAATAATCGATTTCATTTTGACACCTAATTACTCAAGAGTAGACAATAACAACAACAAAAATTATAACGACAACACTTTTTTGCGTATTGTTCGAGTGCCATTAAAAGACAATTAGAAACGACACGACACGACCCAAGGTATATGATAAGCGGTTCGATTCAGTTTGTGTAGAGTGCCAGACACTTGATTGATTAAAACGGATGGCTTGCAAACTGATAGAGCAGCAAAGATAGTCTATATAGCGATGCGCATATATTGCAGCTGACGGAAACTAAATTGGAAAACGAGACAGGTTCAATGCACGCCTCCGCACAGTGGTTCCACGTAATCACATGCTGAGATGTTGTTTATGTGAGTTTCAAAATATATTATTAAATTCAAATACTGCTGTTAGCAACAGAAAATGAATTGATTAAGTTTTTAAAACTTTGTTGTAAAATTTGTGTCTTATTTGAAAAGATAAAAAGTGGAATGACAAACATAAAAGCATGTTTACCAAGAGTAGGAAATATACTTTTGCATTCGCATTATTTTTGTACATTTTATTAGAATTATAAAAAATTTTTCCAACGTCATATTTGTATGCGTCAGAATTTTTGTCATTTCTGTTTTGACTTTACTGGAAATGAATCATATTTTAAACGTTAAAGAATAATGTTTTCAATCAGTCGTAGGTCGCAAATTGTGATGCTGAAACAAGTTTTGTTATGGAAGATAAGGGTATATGTGTATTCGTAGTTGGCAGTCCAGAAACATGGAGAAGAATGAAGACCCATTTTTAGTTTGTTTGTTTTCATTTCTAGCACTTTATTTCTGCCCCAGAACCAGTGTGCAACGTGGCGTATGCGCAATATGTTGGCCAAAGTCAAAGTTGCAGTTGCGGCTGCTGCCTTACCTTGTCTTGCCTTGCGTGACGCTTGACGAACCGCCGGGCCGGGTCGGGCCGGGCTGCCAGGGCATCGTCACTCACTTCACGTGACTAGTGCGAGTGCTGTTTTTATCTATGAAATTTAATGTGCCTAGATGTTATTACTTTAATTGTTGGTTGTTGTGTTTTATTCTGTTTTGCAGTTGCTAAACACCACAAAGCGCTGCTGTAAATTTGCATTTCAGAAGTGCGCGGCTTCAGCATGTGTGTGTGTGTAGTAGATATGTGTGTGTGTGTATTTTACAGCTCATGCAGTAAAACAAAGCACATATTCTCAGGTCTTTAAGCAGAGCGCGTGCCAAATGTGACGCATAAATGCTTTTTATGAGTATGTCATATACAAAGGCTCACCAGATTTTTCAGTCGCCTCCCATTAAGTTAATTCCGATTTGGATGAGAAAGGGAAATTATTGAAGCACCGTGTTGGCATGCTTTATACTATTTTCATTCAGATTTAGTCACTGCCGCATCTTGTGAGTCATAAAAATTTGATAACAGCGCCCACCCAATGCCACACACTTAGGACAAATCGTCTAATTTTTTTGTAGGCTGCGCAAAACACATTCAACTTGTTGGCAGCCTTGTTTATATCGCCAGATGTAAACAGCAATAGCTTATCTCAGTTGGCCTAGACTCTAGCTCCTGTCATTCAGCAAATATGAGGAGGCGTATGCGCCATTCAAGATATGAGTCTTAAGGTTAATTTGCCAGCCATAGAGCAGATGTTCGTGAAATGTTATAAAAATGAAATTAAAGCAGCCTTGCAAAACTTTATAACTTAATCAAATAATTGTCATCATATATGTATTACTTTAAAATCTTAGCCCCTAATTCCATTTGGTTTAGTTTATAAATTGTTTAGCAATGCAAATATCTATGCTAGAGAAAACTGTCTAATTTCTCAACGTATGTAATTGTTAAATATTTGTTTTCAATTGTTTTATAAATATGCCAGCGGAACACTTTTGTAATTAAAAATCTTCTTTATAGTAAATTTTTTGACTTTTTTTACCCATTTAGGTTAAAAATTAGTCGAAATCCATCATTAGATATTTTTTTGGAGGTATTAGAATATGAATAGATTTTCAAGCATTTTTTTAATATTTACATTTAATTACTAGGACGCACTGTATTTCCTTAATTAAAATTTGGTATATTTATATTTTTCAAAATTTCATTGTATTTTTAGTTGTTACTCTAATATTCTTAGTATTTGATTTTAAGCCATGCAAAAATGTTTATTTGTTTTTATTATTTTATTTTTATTTTTAATATACTACATTGAGAATACAAGTAGTTCTTCTGTGTTTTGTTTTTTGAACTAATTGTACAGACACTTTTTTACCTAAACTTTTTTCAAATATATTTTTGAAATTCCACAGCAGCAATAAATAGTAGGCGCAGTCGTTTGTTTTATATTTACAAAATTTCACATATTATTAATATTATCCTTCAACGCATTCGTTGTCAGTTCGTTACTTCATAACTTTTAGCTTAGAGCACACATTTTTGATAAAAATCAAATTATTTTAAAATTTTGATCAAAGCGATTATTAAAACAATTTTGTTAGTTCCAAAATGGCTGACGGCTACGATAGTGCCATGACTATTTTCTCCCCAGATGGCCATCTGTGGCAGGTTCAATATGCTCAGGAGGCTGTACGCCGTGGCTCTTTAGTAGTGAGTATCCATTGAAGTAGTCGCTTCGTTGGCCATTCGTTTGTTTAACTGTCAGTTGTCCCCAGATTGCCATACGTACCCAGGACTGTATTGTCTTGGGTGTGGAGAAGAGGTACATGGGCCAATTGCAGGAGGAGATTACGGTGCACAAGATTTGTCCGGTGGGCGACAACATAGCAATAGCATTTGCTGGCCTCACAGCCGACGCACGCGTGCTCATCAATCGTGCCCGGGTGGAGTGTCAGAGCCATAAGCTGAATATCGACCAGCACCCAACTGTGAGTTATATATCGCGGTAAGTCGGCGGACACCCATACCTTTTTAGAATCTTCAAGAAAACTCCACTTCTTGCAGCTTCATAGCGGAGTTGAAAAAAAGCTATACCCAGGGCAGTGGACGTCGTCCGTTTGGCGTTTGTTGTCTGGTCAGTGGGTTCGATGAGAATGGGACGGCGCGTTTATTTCAAACCGAACCATCGGGCAACTTCTACGAGTTCTCAGCGTGCGCCATAGGCCGTAATTCGGAAGCAGTGTTCGAACAATTGGAGAAGGCCGGCTCGGCGCCGACGGCTGATGAGCAATCGGCCATCACATGGACCATACGCTTACTGATCTCTGTGGGACTGCTAAACAGGGACAGCATCGACTTGGCTGTGCTCAAGTTTAATCAGCCGCTACGCCTGCTGGACACCAAGACGTTGGTCGACCATGTGGCCAGAGTACAGCGCGAAATAGAAGAGGAAGGCCGGACCCATCAGCGATTAAATATTTAATTTCAGCTCAACTGAATAAACAAATCCCAGACTTTGCTTTCTTTCAATTAGAGCCTTCAACAGATGTTCCACCATAGCAATGTTATTTAATGCCAAGTCACTAATTAGCACAACAATAAAATGTTGGTGAACCATCCAAGAAATAGTTGCTAATAAAATAGCAATGCATAATATTCAATTTAATGGGCAATAAATTGTTAAGCTCTTTGTTACCTTGACCCAATTCTTCCAGACTCTTAACGGGTGCTTGTTAATGGCCCGATTTTTGTGGCCTACCGTTTATTATCGGGTGTTCTCTGATACTTTTAAGGGCTAGTTATGAAGAATAATATTTTCAGCTCACATTCTTTAGTCCTATATACTTTAGATTCTTTACAAATCAGCACGTTTTCACACTTTACCTCCGATCTCTGATTTTGAAGACTGGTATACTCCCTTACGAATAAGGTATAGAAAAATAGCTTATAGAGACGATTTATCAGTTTGAATATTATTATTATTTAAAAATTTGCATTGTATTTGTTTTATTTATTCAGACTGATAGACGAGGGAAAGACTGAAATGGAGATTATGAAAAAATTATACAAGTAGAAAAAAGATTATGTTGAAGATTCTATACGGAACCAATTTAAATGTGACAATCAAAATAGACAACATGTACATAGTTTCAGTTTTGTGCTCACTAATATACTTATATACTTATATTCTGATAACAAACTTTATTATTTTGAACAAGGAATTATTATGATTAATAATAATGAATACCTTCATTCGCTGACTTTTATGTCCAATATACTATAGATCTCCACCGGATCAAATCTGGCAAATTAAATGACTTTTTTAATGCTTAACGAGTAAATATTTTTGTTCAACTGATTGAAATGCTAAACATAAAGATCTTTATTTCTTATATATCTCAAAAGTTGCCTGATTTTATTGCATTGTATTAATGAAATGAATGATGCTGAAGAAGAGAAGATTGTTCCAGAGCTTTCGGATATACTGCAAGTTCTTTATATTTTTGAAAACATGCATTATATGTATTAATATTTTGGCATTATTTAACTATCGTTGAAAGCATACGTGGAGAGTTTAAAAAAGTATGCCCCTGAAAATACTATTGCCTTGTAACTATAAACTTGGGAATCAGTGTCAGACTACAATGGACCTTTAGTTAACAGAGTTCAAGAATGCTATATGTTGGAAAATATAGGAATCTTTATAATTAAAATACGACGTAGCAAAATGACGAAGAAACGTGTTCTCATAAAAAAAAGTGAATAAAGCTTAAGGCAATAAAACACAACTCGTTTTCTTTCTAAACTGTACATTTAAATTTGCTGCAATCTGTTCGGTTAAGAACGCTAATAAGTTAACAGCCCTTGTCAGTTAATATTATACAAGTATTACTTATTACTCGTTGAGAAGATTTACTGTGGCTTTATGGTTGTTTATCAGACGCGGTGACAGCTGAATTCTTTGCTGCAAAATTATGCAAATATTTTTCATATTATACGAATATTAAATAAAATCAAAGCGGTTGACGTCACGTATGTGGCAAATATTTATGTCCAGCTTTCAGTCTCGAACCTTGTCTGGCAATTGCCCTCATTGGATGTATAATTTATGAAAAATTTCCCATATGTATTATACATGATTTAAACCGCAAAGCAAAACAAATGACTAGTGGAAATCTAACTAGAAAACCTGTGGCAGATTGCCTTCAACATTCAAGTTGTTCTTATCTAATCGGGTTGTCTCGTGTGCGCTCATTTCCTTAAGGTGTCAAAATATTTATTTAAATACTTTTCTGTCTTAACGATCACATCTGTCAGCAGCGGCAGCCACATAAAGATGTAAGCCGCAACTTTATCAAAAAGGCAAGCAAAAGTGATTACAACTTACAGCTGAGAAGTAAAGAAGATAAATATTTGCTTTAACAATACTAGTATGTTGCATCTTTTTTATTCCCTGTACCCAAAAGGTAAAAGGGTGTACCAGTTTTGTGCCCATGTATGTAACACACAGAAAGTATTTATATTCTGGATCAGGATGACACTGTATCAACGCAAGGATCTCAGAAAGTATAAGAGCTAGAATAACCGAACATAGCATCCAGATACTCCAAAGTCCGAAAAAGTTCGAATTTTTTTTTCTGATGCCCTTTTTTTACGCTTTTAGCGATTTTCCATTACCCAAGTAATTTTTGTAAATTAGTTTGGCAATTACCTTAGTGCTTATATGTATGTATGCCTTCATGATAAGTTTCATCAAGATAGGTCAAATTTAAAGGAATTTATAGCCATGATCTGCCCGTAGCTGTTGTTGTTGCTGCTTTGGCTCAACTATGTTCCTGCACACAAACACAAAGTTTCACATAAACAGACTTAGTCACAGTATTAATGTAAATATATGTTCTATTGAAACCATACGATCCTATTTACGTTTTATATATTATTTAAATTTATTTATTTTAAAACAAAATATTTTATTTTAAAACAAAATATTGCAAATATTTTTTAAAATGTTTTTTTTTATTTATTGTGAGTTAGGGTACTTAAGAGTTGAGCCCACTTGACTTTGGCATTCCTTTCTTTCTAGAATGTCTGAGAGGAATTTAATGCGCCTGTCTGTCAACTTTTGCTGTTAAACGTCAATCCAATTAAAATCTTGCTAACTAGCAACACTTTGTCGGAATGGCAGATAAGTGAGATAAGTATAAATAATTCATTTGATTAGGCCGAGTAAAATATGTAATTACAGCCTTATTGACATGTTCACTTTTCTTTACTGGAATAAATTTTAATTATACATGTATAGTATAATTCCATACTGGCTGTATTGCTATGTTGCGTCCCAATTATTGCAACAATTACTTTACTTAAAAAGTAAGCAATTAACTCATAATATAACGTACGTCTATATACATATACTACTTGTTTCTTTCTAATAAGTTGATGTATATCTTTCAATATGTTTCTTCAATGCCAATGCAAGTCATATTTGAATTAATAAATTTATTCATATTATGTATAGAAATAATGAAACTTATTTCTAACTTATGTCAAATGTGTAAAATCTTTTAGAACTGCACCTTTGTGTAAGGACACAAACAAAAATTGTAAATATATTCCTGAAAAAATAATGAATAAAAACTATTCGAATTCTTCAAGTTGGCCAGACATTTTGTATACTCTCAAATGCCCTTTAGTTTAATTCAAATGGATGCAACAAATGATAGCTTTATGTCCTTGCTGCAGCAAGTTGTACTTTACTTTTTCCATTTCCTTCCGTATGTATTCCTTCATCTAATCCATAAATAAAAGAATCTCGCTAATTAGAGGTAATTGGGAAAGTTTTGCTCGCTTGTAATTGTCTCCAGTAGTGTGAAGCTTAATCAACATCCTCTCATTTACGCAAGCACCATTTCCTGTGAAGTTAAGAGGCTATTCTAATAGGCAAGCAATAATAACTAAGCCGTTATCATGGAAGGACTGCTCTTATATTTCGATTATTCTCTTGCTCCACGACTATCCAAAACATAATCTATTGAGAAAGACTCTGTTTATTTGAGCAAATGTATGCTAGAAGCGCTTTATTACAGTTAGAAAAGGAAGTAGGGCATACAATGAAAGAAATGAAAAACCAACAAAATCTGTTTAGAATTTTCTACATTTTTAGAATAATTATTTAATCACTGGTCGACCTTTATTTGTGACTTGATAATACGTGAGACTAATCGAGAAGCGTGTGTAGGTGTGTGTTTGTGTTAGTATATTCGTGTGCATCCTTAATCCTCCAATGTTACATTACGAAACAGATAGGACATGGACTCCTTGTTGTGTATGCGGCGAATAGCCTCTGCAATCAGTATAGAGATATCTATAGTCTTGATCTTGTGACACTGCAGTTTTTGGATCTCATGTGGAATGGTGTTGGTAACAACAATCTGGAAGCAGGAGGGCATGCTGGTTAACAGTATGGAGGAACATTTAAGGACACTCGACACACGTACCTCATCGATGACCGACTCCTCGAGCAAGCGCGGCGCATCGGAACTAAGAAGTCCGTGTGTTGCAAGTACATAAATTTTACAAGCGCCATTCTCCTTAAGCATCTCAGCGGCTGCCACAAATGACATTACATCGTCGATCAGATCGTCCTGAAAAAAGGGTGAGGCAAATCGGTCAATAATTTCTGAGCAAGCTGCAAGCAGGAATAAATAAATTATATTTCTGACTTACCACCATGATCGCTATGCGTCCATTCACATCGCCGACAATGGTCAGTGGCGGTTTGACCTTCACCGGATGCTCCGGCACGCCCACCGATACGGAGGTGGTGCGCGTACGGCTACTGCTAGGTGCATGTTGTGGGGTAGAGTTTCTTGTGATTAGTGTAAACAAATGGCGTCGGGCATTTTGTATTTGTGATGCACGGGTATAATTGTTGTTGTGGGTGTTGGTGGATTTAAAATATGTGCAATAATTTTGTTTTTTTTTTGGAGTTGTTGTTGTTGAGGGCGTAGTTGTTGTACAAATAACCAAAAAAGAAAAACGACATTGAAAAATGTAATTTATTAAAGAAATCTAAATAATAAATGGTACAAATAAATAATACAAACCTAGGCGTCACTGGTAAGCACATTTCAACTGAATTTCCTAATAAATTGCTATACGCACTGCATAATATAACACAAATAAAGAAAATATTTTGTTTGTTTCGCATATTGGTGAACTTTTCACATTAAAATTTTTCGAAATTTTGTTTGCAACATGAACATTTTGTGCTCTTGATCGAATGGATGAATAACAAGCCAAACTAAATGTTTAACAAAGCCACAACACAAAGCTAAGCGATTAACAAATGCAGCATAGGCTATAAAGTTAACGTCTATTTGTGAAAATAAACAATTAACTAAAAAGCGACGCTATACGTATCGTTATTGCCGCACAAGCCACAATTTAGTCCACAATGTTGTCGAATAAATCAAATGACGAACGCATAGCATGATTTACGCAAATTTAGAAGAAAAAGCCGAATTATATAAAAATGGCACGAAGAAGACAAATAATGCTGACCATATTAAAAACCTGACTGGGTTCTGAAAGAAGTAACACGGCGATGTGGCCTCCCAAGGAGGGTTTAATCACTATTTAACACAAGATAGACATAATATTAAGTCTAATATCGTTAAGCCCTCAATGTTTTACCTATAGATCATATGTTTTAAACAGCTCATCTCAAAGGATTTAAAACGATGTCCAATTCCCAAATCGTTTTCATTAAACTGCTTAAACTTAAAGTTTTTCAAAATCCAATTGGCAGCATTAAGTCTGATGGCAATAGCTAACTCGTAAGTGCCTAAAAAGTTATCTTGTATTGGAAGAATTTATATTTAACCGAGTGACAAAATTTAATTGGAAATTAAATTAAATCACCTCTTGAAAATGTTGAATACAATGTTCATTAGATTCAAAATTTAATCAAGATAAATATTTTAAATATTTTTGAGCCACCTAGGTATTCAAAGAATAAAACCAGAAACTTCTGTCATATTTTAAGTACATACTCGAGTTTTTAATATACGTATATTCAATATTCTTTCATAATAGGCCATGCAAATAGACAAACAAAATTGTTGATGATTTCGATTTAACCAACGAATGCAAAATCAGTTTGAAAACACGATTTGTATATAGCGAGAAATAGCAATGAATTATGAATTGCCAATAGATGTGTAGTTTTTCAAATAGCAATGATAAACAAACAAAAGATTTGTAAATAGTAATATATCAGCAATTTGTTGTACATTTACAGGTGTTTTGAAGTTGAAATGTACCATACAAGGAGATAAGACTAAGCTAGATAATGTATAAATGATAAAAAGGTTTGGAAAGGCACACACAAAATGCTTGAGTCGGAGGAGCTCGACAAGCAATTTGCATGTGAGAAACAAATATAATAAAACTCTCTACAGATGTCAATGAACTTTGGAGGGAAATAAAACAAAAGACTATAGATGAACGAGCCGTTTTCACGCACGTTTCCATGACATAGACATCAACGAGTAGGTATTTCATTGGGCAGGGATTTGAGACTTACCTGGTGGGCGGCGGCGAATATCGGCCATCAACTTCGTCGCTCTCGGCCTCCTTTTGCTCGCCATGTATGACAGCCAGGCCGAGACGCAGCCGTTCCGCATATGAATTGGCCTTCTTAGCAACTCCTGGATTGCGAGCCACAATCACCGAATTGCGATAGTCGGGTATCTGTTTCGGAGCGTATTAAAGGGTGTAATGAAAGTGATATACAAGTATTGTATATAATATTATTTTAAATTTCCACTTACGCTCTCCTGAATATATTGCAGCAGAAACGGCGAGGCCCGCAAATTATCCACGGGTATGTCGAAAAAGCCCTGGATCTCCTTCTGATGCAAGTCCATGGTTATGATGTGTGTCAGACCTGAGGTACACATCATCTTGGCCAGCAGTTTCGACACAATACAGCCACGCTTGCGCATCTTGCATTGCTTGGAGTAAGGTAAGTAGGGAATGACGCCCACAATGGAGCGCGCCGAAGACGTTTTGCACGCATAGGCCATAATAAGTAGTTCCATAATATTGTTATTGGCATCCCTAGCAAGCGATAAATATCAATGCAAGTATCTAAGTATGGCATTGGAAAAGTTCTGAATATCAATCTGAATTTCGGAGAACATGAACATGAACAACCGGCAGAAGAAGAGAATTAGGAGAATATAAAGGGGCGCTGAATATAGTTTATAGGCCGAGTTGTTGTTCTCCAATATTCCTATCAGTATTAGTATTATATGCTACATTTCTTTTTTAAATAAATAAACCGAGTTGATAGCCCAATAAAAAGAACATTTTTTTTTTATCTCTAAAAAACTTTTTTTTTTTGACATTTCGGCTTGGGCTGTTCTACTTTCTGTGATCTTTAATATTCGAATCTAATAAATCTTTTAAAGATATATGAAGCGGGAAACCGACGCTTAAAGAAATTTGAAACAATTACAAAAAGCTTAGATGAATCGGTTGGAAAAGATAGTTCACCAAATTTATATAATTTTCCGTTTGGTGGCCTCAACATTCATTCGTTTGTAAGCAATAATATTATCCAATGGTAGTTTCTACTTACTTCGTGCCCGTTTGTATAATATAGATGTCCTTGCCGCGCACAGAATCACTTATCTCTACGATGGTCTCTCGATTCGATTTGTGGAATACGGAACAGCCGCCGTTCTTAAGGCCCATGCGTTCGGCCACCATATTGGCCAGATCCGGATGCGAATTGCCATTAATGATGACAATGTCCGAGGTGGATGTGTTGTCCATGTCGCTTCTGCAACGTTTCGGTGGGCGCACGCTGCCTAATCTGCTGGTTAGATAACTTAATTAAAATATTGTCTTCTATGGAGTGAGAGACAGAATTAATAGACATAAATGGTGCATAAGGAAAATAAAAAGTGGCGAGCAATTTTCTACCTGCGTTTGGACATGCTAAGGTAGGAAGGGGCTTAGGTGATTGCAATGTGAGGTAATGACTTCAAGCGAGTAGGATGGCGTGCGTAGCTACCATGACCACAGCCATTGAAATCACGCATACGACGCGTTTCCCTATGCACGTTTCCAAGTTGCTCGTTCCGGTTTTATTGATTAGCCTCATGAACTATTTTCCAGCTTGGGGGGCCCCAGCATGTGGGCAATTAGGTTCGTTGCACACTTTTTAACGCGACTTTTTGTAGCACAAGAAAGTTATTAAAAACACGATATCAAAAGGCAGACAGAAGACAACTTTCGTCCCTTGGCATGCACGGAAACTGAGGCGAGCCTAAACCGCAATGCCCACGTCGCGCACATCATAGCGCTATCGATCAAACACCCGGGCCTGCCACACATGTGTGGTCCGGGCAACGGGCGAAGCGACTCCGCCGACAAATTTGCCGAGCGCCAAACTCAACTCGAGGCGACCTCGCCAATCAGTCAAGCAGTAAGGCAAGTGAAACCCCAACTGCCAGCCGCAGGTTAGGAGCCGGAGCTCGAGCCCTAGAATCCGTGCACAGATTTAGACTAGCAGATAAAACGCGCCCGCCCATCAGGCCTGTCCAATCCGTAGACGTAGACGCGTAGTTACTTCCGATTGAAATCTATTTACAAAAGAATACGAAAGAAGGAAATTTCTGAGCCAAGACGCGGACGCAGTGCACTGCACGCGACTCGACTGTTAAAGAAAAGTGAAAGCCAAAAGCGGCTCAAGTGCATGTGACGCCGCCCTGAAGTATGCCAAGAATACTCGTGTGTGAAGGCGCGTGGCTTCCATTGTTTGTTAATTGAATTTCTATTTTTAATGCGCCAGTAGCTGTAGCAGCAGCAGCAGCAGCCAAGAGAGGAAAAGAGGTCAATGTGCTCGAAGTGGCGCTGCTGAAGGACAGCCCGAGGAACTAAAACCAAAACAAACACCAGTTCGAAAATGGGTGATTCAGGTAAATGCCCAACTTTCTTCTGCATTTCTGAAAAGCGGACCACTAAATGCGCCAGTCAATTCCGAGAAAGTTGAGTGCCTCAATAAAGCTATCAAATTTGAATTACGCCTATTATGAGTAACAGTGCCTTTCAAAAGGTTTTTTGAAAACAAAAAATTGCAGCCATTCAACCATTCAGCCCACTACCAAACACACTAGACTAGAAATGTTGCTTCGTTTAGAAAAAGGGTCGATAGCCAGTTAGAAAAAAATAAATGAGAAGTATTTGCAGCGTTAGACTAAACTGTCTTGCCTTTAAGTTCAGTTTTTAGTCTAGTAGTGTGAAAGGTTTTGAAAAGCTTCTCTTTTTTATACCCTGTACCCAAAGGGTAAAAGGGTATACTAGTTTTGTGCGAATGTATGTAACAGGCAGAAGGAGGCGTGGCAGACCCCACAAAGTATATATATTCTTGATCAGGATGAGAAGACGAGTCGATATAGCCATGCCCGTCTGTCCGTCCGTCTGTATGAACGCAAGGATCTCAGAAAGTATAAGAGCTAGAATAACCAAACTTGGTATACAGATTCTCCTGAGCCCGAGAAAGGAAATTAATTAATTAAATTAATTTATGTTTTTGTGGGGTGGTACAGGGTATTTAAGAGTTGAAAATTTGAATATTTTGATAATTGAAAATTTTAGAAATTCTGTCAAAACGAAAAAACGTAATATTTTATAAAAATTATTTTGCACGATCATTTATCAATTAGGTAATGGTTCAGAATCTACTCCATACAATTTGAATAAAATTTAATGCATATGATGATAGTTTATATGACGATGAAAAAAAATATAGTTTTGAATATCGAAAAATTACTCTATTTTAATCCTTCTACATATGTATATATTTCCCTACTCTTATCTGTTTTAGACAACTACTTGGACATTCATTATATGTATTTGAAACATTATTTTAAAACGATTATTGTCAATATTTGAGAAGATCTAAATCAAGGAATATATATATCATATATATATAATTTCATATATGAAGAGTTAGTTTAGCTATTTGAACAAATGCTGACTTTCAAAAGATATTTGAGATTCAGCTGCCGATAAAATCAGAAAGGGGTCGTAAGGGGAAGTCCCTTCATGCATGTATCACTTTCTAATTTCAAATTATTAGTTTCCCAGTTATTTCATCATAGAATAGCTAGCTCAATAGTGTGTACATAAATAGGCGATTACTTAATAAGGCAAATGTCGTCTACCTAGAAACGAGTTGACACTTAACTGAATAATCGCTTCTTGTTTGTACCGTTTCAAAGAAATTATATTTAGATTATATTTTGTAGTGAAATCAATCCACTGTGCGACTGGTCCTAAGCATGATTGACGCTGCCTAGGTCGCACGTAACCGCGACTATTCAATTTCACACGTTGACGTTTGAGCAGGGATGCGGCGGAGGTCATGGATGGGGCATGCAATTGGCCCAGCGGGCTGAACGCCATAAACGACACGCATATGTGTGGCTGGTTAGTGGGGTGGTCATGGCGTCTGAGTGAATGATTGGGCGCTTGTCAAAGCGAAGACGTGCACATTAAGGTTGGGGTTTAAAGATAGCTGTGCAGGCCAGAGCAGTAGCAGGATTAAGGCGGCGTCAAGGCGTCATCGTAACCTTTTGCATTAGAAAGTTATGACAAGCGTTTGGGGCAGTGTGCGGATTAGCGCCTTATGGTATTTTGAAAACTGAGAGCTACTTGAATTGCAACGCATTCGAAAGTGGTATTAGAGTCTTTCGAGGCGTTGCAAGTGCAGGTTCTAAGAAGCGCTCAATTGCAAATCAGACAAAATGCTGGGCATAGCCTGCGATCCGCTGGAACACACAAGCATGTACGAGCGTGGCTCAGACGGTATAAGAACGAAAGACTATCTTATAATTTAAGCAATATTTAAATGGTTTCTCAGATAGGAATATATATGATTAATTTAAATATGAAATGCATACATCGATGATTATCCATTTATAATGAGGGGTAATCCCTTTTCGAAAAAAAGCATAAAGTAGTTAGATCCAGACCGCACTTTTCTAATCGAGTTCTGCCTATTCTCTCGATGTATTTACAGACAGCGAGGATAGTGATGGCGAGGGAGGTCTGGGCAATGTGTCCCGCGTGATCATCCGACCGCCCGGACAGAGCGGCAAGGCCAAACGCGGTCATCTTTGCTTCGATGCGGCCTTCGAGACGGGCAATTTGGGAAAGGCTGAGCTAGTGGGGGACTTTGAATACGATTTGTATTTGCGTCCGGACACGTGTAATCCCCGGTTCCGATGGTGGTTTAACTTCACCGTAGACAATGTCAAGCAGGATCAACGTGTACTCTTCAATATCGTAAATATTAGCAAGAGCCGCAATTTGTTTAATTCCTGTCTGACACCATTGGTCAAGTCCTCGAGTCGACCGAAGTGGCAGCGTCTGCCTAAACGTCAGGTGTTCTTTTATCGCTCGGCTATGCATCAGGGGCATTATGTCCTGAGCTTTGCATTCAATTTCGATAAGGAGGACGATGTTTATCAGTTCTCTCTGGCATCGCCTTATAGCTACTCTCGCCTGCAGTCCTATCTCAATGTAATTGATGCGCGACAGGGCGCGGAGAAGAAATATACGCGCTCGGTGCTGATCAAGACTTTGGTAAGTTAAACTTTCTTTTCTTCAATACTCGTACTGTACTGATGGCATATATTTAGATTTATGGCTATAATAGATAACCTTGAAGACTAATTTTTTTACGAAATTAACATTATTTTCAATATCATGTGGTTTTTAAAGGCCTTTACTCCTTTTGACTTTAACTTTGCCGTCTTTGTTAGAAGAGCTTCATAAATTCTCCACTCAATGTTTAATTGTTCTTTGGTCTTTGCAGCAAAATCGCAATGTAGATCTATTGACCATTGATCATGTAACGCAGAAGCAACGCTCTACCAATCGGTTGGAACGCTCTTTCATACGCGTTATAGTTATATTGTGTCGGACACATTCGAGTGAAGCGCCCGCCTCTTATGTTTGTCAGGGTCTTATCGAGTTCCTGGTGGGTAATCATGCAATAGCGCAAGTATTGCGAGAAAATTTTGTCTTTAAAATAGTGCCAATGGTGAATCCGGACGGCGTGTTTCTGGGTAACAATCGTTGCAATTTGATGGGTCAGGACATGAATCGCAACTGGCATGTGGCCTCGGAGTATACGCAACCGGAATTGTATGCGGTGAAGAATATGCTAAAAGAATTGGATAATTCCGATGTAAGTCGAGGCTTTTTAATGTATACTTAACTCCCCAACTTACCCCATTTATTATTGACAGACCTATCAGATAGACTTTGTCATCGATTTGCATGCAAATAGCAGCATGCATGGTTGCTTTATCTACGGCAACACCTATGAGGATGTGTACCGATATGAACGCCACCTGGTCTTCCCGCGTCTGTTTGCGAACAATGCTCCCGATTATATAGCGGAGCATACGATGTTTAATGCCGATGACCGCAAGGCGGGCAGCATTCGACGCTTTAGTTGTGAACGTTTGAGCGATACTGTGAATGCCTACACCTTGGAGGTGTCCATGGCCGGTCACTATCTCAGAGATGGCAAAACGATTGCTCTATACAATGAAGATGGCTGTGAGTCCACCTTTGTAGAGAGATGCTTGTAAGCCTATCCTCAACTCTTGATTGCTTACAGATTATCGCGTGGGTCGCAATCTGACGCGCACTTTGCTGCAGTATTATCGTTTCATTAATGTGCTGCCCGTGCCACTGGTTCCAGAAATGCGTCAGAAGCGTCGCGGACGTCCGCGCACCCATCACTCACGATCGCGTTCCAAGACACGCTATGAGGTCAAGCCGCGGCCCAAGACCCCGAGGTGTCATGCACCCATTGCCTACACCAATCTCAGCATTTGCTACGACTCTGGGGGCGGCTCCTCGGATGAGGGTGGCTTTTCACCTGCACGTCCCATTGCGCCAGGAAGTAGCAGCTTCAGTGGCTATCGCAACTATCGTCGAGCTGTGACCGCCAGTTGCCCGGTACATGATCCGTATTCCCTGAATGTCACCGTAAAGACGGCCAGCGAACATGGCGGCACCCGTGGTAAGCGTTCCACAACAACAACGGCTCCATCTACACTGACCATAGATGTGCCCGTGAATGTTCCGCCGAAGCCATATCTATCGATTATCGATTTAAATCAGCTAACTCGAGGGAGTCTTAAGCTTAAGGCAAACAGTTTTGATGCGTCAGAAAGACGCTAGACGTTACTGTAGCTCAAATGCTTTGATAATTTTTCTAAATAAACAAACGTTAATGCCAATCCTGAGCAAGAAGGCGCAGCAACAAGTTGTTGCAAATAGGGGGGGCAAATGTGTTTAGCGGTATTACGAACACATTGACATTGTTTTGCTTGCAATTCTAGACTAATGTTGCCTCATTTTGCTGGCAATAAGCCAAACCCCGCTCATCCTCATCTTTCCCACACCCACTCACCCACTCGGCCTCGTACATTCAATTGACATGCATTGTAGTGCGAAATAGAGATGTGCTCGTGACAAAACATAATCTTTGCAGTTACACCAATCAGTTTTGTTCTCTATTTACTACTTTAATACGTCAAAATCTTGTAATTGTTTATACAAATGTATGTACATATATGCATTTATTGCTAAGATAAGTACCTACTAAAAACTGTGTACGATCAACCAAGTGTTCGAAATCAAATTAAAGATTGTTTTTTGGAAATCAGTTGAAATGCACCACATACTAAGTTATTCAATATTTGGGATGGATCCGCTATAGCTGTTATATACAAAGCACAATATATATGCATATACATAAGTGAGCTAATTTGTACTTTTGTGTCAATAACAGATTTCGTTTATATATGTATATCACTGGACTGATAATATTTCGACTTTCATGAACACGCACGATCTTTCAGGCATTCAGGCACATCTCTAGGTACGAAATAGGTTGTCGTAGATATTTAGAAGTCTTTTAATTACCACACACTATACTAAAAAGCTATACAAAAAATCATAATATATTTATACATTTGTGTGTACATAAGTATAACTAAGAGTGATGCACAGAAGACTGCGTTGATTGTTGCACTCGTCATATGACTGATGTTTGTACATACTCGTATGTATGTACATATGTACATTTGTATGTAATAAGTGAGCGGCGCCGCCTTCTAATAGGCGCCGCGTGAGCATGTGAATGAGCATGTGTTGTGCAGCTAATTGCCTGGATAGTAGTAGGCTTTGTCCATCTTTATCTTATCGTTCACAGGGCTTAATATTGCATTTGTTTTACCACAATTTATTTGGCTTTGTATTTATTTGTATGTGTTATTTATATACACCTTTGGCTAACGCGCAGACAACTTTGATAACCCGCAAAGTATAAAATGCGATGTGGACGCTCTTTCTGATTAGGAAATGTGACAAATTCTAGCGCTCAGAATCAGACCCGAGAGTTAACTGATTAACGCTTTCAATTAGCAATGCGACCGCGGACTCGAAATCAATAAAAATAATTTTTTTCTCGTCGCTTTGTATTTGTATAAATAAATGTCAACAGTATAAACAAAGAGTGTAAACGTCGGCGCGCAATCTTTGTTGTTGTGCGAGAGAGTTATCGTGGCGTAGCGTTGCCAGATGTGCGCGCTCGAACAGTTGTTAGCTGAACAACTGAGATAGTAAAAATGTATAAATACCAAAGGAAACCAAAACAACAATTAAATTAAAATTAGAAGTATTTAGCATGTTTTATAGACTTAGCAGAATATTGGGTTTTATTTTGTGGCAAGTTGAAAGACACCCAGAAATTTGGCAACACTGAGAAAACATTCTGTAGCGCACAGAATTTGGTGAACAAAACAAAGCGCGATGAATAAATTAAGTAATAGGTAGAGAAAACCGCAAACATATTGTGTGTGGGTACTATAAATAAAAACAGCAAATAATGGAGAATGGAGAGGCGTAAATGCGCAGAAGCTTGAGCGAATTCCAGGCAGGCCGAAAATGGTCAATTAAATTGCCATCATGTTGTCTGCCTGTGTTAGCTAAGCAATTAAATTAAATCAACTTTTTGTTTAACCTGGCTAAAATATCGGAAGGCACTTCAGTTGGGAAAGTTGGGAAGTGCGAAAAAAAACATAAAATAAAAGTGTTTACAGTATTACAAAAGCACAGAAAAGACACACACTAATTAAATTAAAAAGTGCTACACAAAATTGGCCGCTTTACTTGTTTCGCTGCAAAAGCATTTCGTCTTTTTGCTGTGTTGTTTTTTATATATGTATGTAGTCCGATGTAGCCGTTTCTGCACTGTCTTCGATATGAATATGTTTAGTAATTACGCACAACCGTCGACCTCTGGAGATAAATTTATGCCAACCGCAGGCAAAGAGAATGCAATTGCAACTAGAGACGAGACCTTGTCAAGTGAACAAGAATTGGTACTGGCCCTCTATTATATTCGCACTCTTTGCTGACGACGACGAACACATCCAAGAGAGGGAAAACGAGAGATAAACGGCAATCACACACAACTTAAAATAAGTACAGATAATTACTCTTTGCTTGCACTACACAACACAACTGCTCGTTAAGTTACCGCACAGTTTTATCTAGCAATTATTTAATGTGGAATCGACCTGAAAACGCGACCGCCAGCTGTTTACAACACGTTAGAGATGAGCGAATTTATCATAGCTGTGACTTCGGTCACTAGCCAAAAATACCATAAGTGAGACTATCCGCTCACGCGCGTTTTTTATTCAACGTTGCAACGCAGATTGAAAAGGTTATTAATTTGGGGACTTAAATTTCTAATATCCCATCTAGCTCTTAAGTTTTTCAATAAATAAATAAAATTTATAGAAATTGCAAAAGATTTTTGATCAATACGTTACGGTTTTACTGGGAAAATTCGGTATTAAAGCTCCAAAACTAAGCGTAGAAATTCAGGGTGGATTCGATGGATAATTTCTTCTAGCTTCAACTCTCAAACACGTTTTTGTGACAAATTGTCTATATATATTGGAAGAAAACAATATATAAATAAATAAATCGTAATGATGCAGAAAATTGGGTGGCTTAATAGTATAAAGTATATACCTAATATGGTTTTCATATAGATTAGTGTAAATTTGCATTATTTATATGAAATATGTAACAATAAGTTTCTCATTTATATATAAGTAGATAAAAAAAAATTTATATTTAGAGCAAAAAAAGCAAGAGTGTGATGTGAATTCACGGTTTTCAATTCAACGACTTTCACTGCCGATCTGGGATACCTGTGTGTTCTAACAATGAGTGTTGTCAAACTGATTTGAAAACGCTGTCTGGCAGCACCACACACTTTAATTCGAGCGCAAAGTTTTGTTCGCTTTCTATAAACACAAAATAACAGAAAATACTTAATTCATTACAATATATACATTAGCCGCGGCATAATGGATGATGTACGCGCATTAGATCACAATGAGGTGTTTCATCAGCTGAGCACAGAAATTAAGGACTTCAATCAGTCGACCAAGAAGTTAAAAAATATGCGCTACTGGAGTGGTAAGTTTGTATGTAATTCGCAGGGGTGTGCCATTACAAGTAAATCCAAACGTGAAGTTGATAATATATGATTGCCACTCTTTAGGGAATGAAATATACATAGAGAAACTGTGCGAGCGCGTGCTGAACGTGCTACTGGAGCATAATCTGGTGGAGCAAGTGAAGTCAAAGGTTGATCCCGACGAGCTAATTGCAGTGCCCAAGTCGAATGCTTCATTGGATAATTTACGGGGCACTCTGGTGTTCTTAATACTGAACAGCGACAACACATATTTTTGCGAGTTGGATGAACTTCGTCGCTACAATCCGCACTATGTGCATTTAATGGAGCTCTGTCCGCCACTACCACTAATTGCTACTGTTGCCATTGCCCAAAAGTGTGGCCTAGAGGAGCCTTTAAAGGAGTTCCTCAGCTGTGGTCCATACTGGCTAACTAAACAGTATTACGAGATCTGCAATGAGGCTTTCAACTATGTGGAGAGCAAGGACAAAGTGCTAGAGCGTGTCTGTGGCGTGTTGGATGCGGCTCGTGGGGCCCTCAATAGCTATGCCCTGCGTGGTGGTCCAGGTCCCACGGATGCAGACTGGGAGGCAGCCAATACTGGACTGCTGAGCAACGTGGCTCAATTGCTGCAGCGACATATTCTCGCTTCTGATGAACAATTGCGTCAATCACTGCGTCCACAGGCGCGTAAACGGTATCTGGGCAAAGCGACAATGCGATTAATGCAGGTACTGCTGAAGGCTCTGGATCCAACACAGCACAATCAGAGAACAAAGCTGCCAGTTCAGTTTTTCGTTTTGTGTTCGCCACACGCCGATCCTTCGACCAATTTACATGACAAGCAGGCAATGTTGCGGAAGTTTGCCAATCAGCTGCTAAACACTTTGCAGAATTTGCTGATGCACGTCAGTGTCGACACGTTTATGTACTGGCAGGAGCTACCGTCGGGCGTACTTTTGTTCACCATGCAGGAACACATTTGCAATTTAGTCCATAAATTGCTGCCGCTGTTGGAGGCCGATGAGGAGTTGAGCACACACTCTATCAAACAACAGCTGGTCTCAGTTTTTGAGGGTGGCGTCAAAACCTTTGAACATAGTCTGTCGGAACTACCGCTGGGCGATCTGTTGGCTCTGCTGGATGGCGACATGGGCCAACTGGATCGTGAGCAATCACTGGCCGCCATCAATGAGCTTTTTCAGCGACCCATCGCATTCGGCAATGAGGAGTGCGTGGAGACAATGGCGCGCAATGGATTTCTTTTGAACATATCACATGCTGAGCGTATACTTAAGCATCTGGACGAGGTGGTGCGTGCCAAGCAGGCAGTCGATGTGGACGACAGTGATAACGAGGAAATGAGCTCTGTCTATGACAGTCTGCTCAGTCTCGTGTTGCGTCCCCTGTTCAAGAGCTGCAAAAATATGCAAAAGATCGAGCTTCTAATTAAACGCGATTCACTGCAGTTGCTCTCACACTTCAACTTTGCTGGCCCAGACTGCAATTCCAAGCGTATTCTTTTTTTCAATAATGCCAACTGCCAGATTGGGCTGAGCCGTTTTCTGATGCTGTGCTATGACCAGCCACAGGCTACTTGGCTCTCGTTAGCCCAACTAGCCATGACGCACAAGTATTTTGACCAAATCTATTGGCGACTGGCGCGCATTTGCAAAGACCATGCTGCTTTCTATGTGGGTCACATAGTATCGGAGCTGGTCACGGATAGACGCATGATCCACAACGTAAATGGTAAAAAGTTTTTGCTATCGCTCTACAATTTCCTCATAAAGGTGAACAGCATACGTTCCATACGACAGCAGATTGTGAGACGATCTTTTAGCAGTCGAATTGCCTACACAAGAAGGGTAAAGACTTGGAAAATGACTCTGTATCCCCAAATATGCGGCTATAATGCCGAGAAGCTGCAGGCGATGCAAAAAGACTACTTAGAGGCGTTCGCAGTCGGCCTCGCCAAGTTCAGAGATACAGATGACTGTCCATCGTTGGGGGCTTTGCTGAAAATACTCCGGAGAACTTGTGTTGCCGACGATCGTGTTAAGAACGAGAGTGAAAATGAATTGATGAAGCTGCGTAAATACCTCAGTATATATGAGAATTCGAGCAACTCCACAAAAGAAATAACTGCGGCACGCCGAACTTACGAACAGGCAGAGGAATATGTCAGAATACATGAAGAGCTTCGTGACTGGCGGTGCACCAATTGGGCAATCACATCTCAGGTGATGCTTACTGTAGACCACTTGCGCTGGAATCTCAATGATTTTAATATGTTGCGTGTCAGGGCTCTTACCTCAGCCGTGCTCTACGCATCGGAGAATATACCCAATATAGCCCTTATGCCAGCTGGTAAGTCAATATAAATAATACAAATTAATTACCAAATTGAATTATCCTTCTTATGGAACAGGTTTTCTGCGCGACATTGACGCGCTGGTTCGCACATTTCGCTACAAGAGCTTCTGGACCGAAGCCGCCTCCGATTTAATGGGCAACCTGGGCACGAAGCCCACACCGCAGCAATTGAACTTATATGTCGAACTGCTCATACAGTCGTCAGTAAATGAGGCCCGCACACTGATGATGAGTGCCGTACGCGCCAAATGCGTACGACCCGTTATGTGCAAGCTTTCAGAAGCCGTAATCAATGCGGGTACAGAAACCGCTATCGAAGCCTACCACTTCATCTTTAAATGTTACGCTGATGCTTTCCAGAAACATCAATGGCCATTTAAGAGCTATGAGTGCGCCAATCACGCTGAGGATGTGACGTATATTGTTCTCAAGTCGCCACCTCTTTCGCTGCCGTTGATCATGGAGACTGTCGATCTTATGATTATAAAGCTATACACGTATGCGGATAAAAATGGCAAAGTGAAGATTAAGCAGCTGGCCAGTAAGATGCCACAAGCACCCTTCGCGATGCCACAATTCAATAGTATAATAGAAGTGTAATATTTAAGTACTGTTAGTTCCCTGAGAAGCGAGAAAGAAAGAGGGCGAACATCAAAATTAATCTCTGATTATATACTATGCACATGTATAGTATACTTGTAATTAACTTGAATTTAAAAAGTTCATTATTTTTGGATTATTGTGTTTTTTGTTTTTGAAATTAATGTTAATAATAAATACATTGAAAGAATTGAAAAGATTTTGGAACTCTGATCGAGGCTTTGTATCCAGAAAGAAAAATATAGTTTTTAAGTAAAATTTATTTCTTCAATGATAATTTTTATGGAAGCTATATGATATATTAAATATTGATATTTGCATATTTTTAAGTACCAATATTAATTAGTGCTTCACATTTAGAATCAGTTCTATTCAAAATATAGAGTTTATAAAACTGATAATATTCAAATGATATTACATAAATATTATTTAAAATAATAACTGAACCGCAGTTGTTCCTTAAAACTTCCTGTGTTTTTCTGTAGGCCTTAATAGATGTTTTAGAAATTTTAAAACGCTATCCATCTGCTGAGAATGTAATATGGGCCATTTTATTTAGCTTGGTGCTTCGGTTAATTGCTCGCATGAGAAGCACGGAGAAAGGCTTTACTTAACTAAAGTGAGGATCCTAAAAATACCTCCAACGTTAAAAAAAAAAGAATTTGCATTATTTCAGATAGGAGTTGGGAGGGAGGCATGAGCACAGGCTCATATATTCTGTTATATTAGTATTTTAGATTGTTAAGAAGCTGTCGTAAAAAAGGCTTCAACGGTTGAAGCTCATGCTTCTCTAAAGCTTTCTTAGAAGTGTTATTCCAAATTCTGCCACGGTACTTAACAAATAAATCTAGTTAGCCTCGCTATAAGCCCGTGACAAAATAAATGAATGTTCGAAATCAGAAATAGCTGAATCTATTGTGGTAATTAACTTTGACATGACTGGTTATTCCTTAACGTGCATTTTTCTGCTTCTTGCTATTTCTTGTAATGCGCTCAGCAATCGGGACATGCGAGATTTTCTCAAATTGGAGCGGGAACTTGTGCAGAACTTTCGAGCATATGCGAACGAACTGCAGGGTAGAATAGAGCTCCTTGAAGGGTAAGTGCGGCAGCTCAAAAATTAAATATCTTTTCAAGAACTGATCTGAACTACCAGTAGACACTAACTAAAATACATTTAAGAATATTTTCTGAACGTTCCTGCAAAAATCATTAAAGGTCGTTCGTTTTTCCCACTTTCCAGTGCGATCGATGAGTACAATGAGGAAATGGAACGTTCCAAACTTGATCCCGAACTGTATTTATCGAACCCAATAAATTCTTTTAAGCTCATACGTCACATGCATCAAGATTGGGTTTACTGGCAGCTGTATATGGACCAGGAGGTAGGCGCACAGCAGATTGCGAACGTGGAACGACTTCTATCGCGCACTCCGCGACGTAGCGCCATTAAAGAGTCGGTGCAGGCCTTGCAGAATATTGTAAAGTTCTTTGATTTTACGCCAACGGATCTAGCAAATAGAAAGCTGATGGATCCGATGCATCTGAGCACACTGGACTGCTATCACCTGGGTGAGGAATTGTACAAGCAGGGAAGCTTTCATGAAGCTGCCCGTTGGCTAGAGGCAGCTACAGCTAACTATACCACAACCGACTACCAAGATGTCTATGATATGTTGGATGTGCCCAAATGGAAAATGCATGAACTGCACTCTAAGGTGTTACTAAATCTCAGTAGGTATCAACTATAATCCTTCTTTCAGTGCACACTAAAGTCCTTTTCGTTGACATGTTCAGACATGCGTGATGAAGCATTCGAAGCGCTGGATCGAGCGCTGGACCTGGACCCCTACAATGCGCATTTGCTGCAGAAGATGGGTCAGATGGAATTGATATTAATTAGGGATGACAAAACATCTATACCAGTGTGTGGAGTATTAACCAGATAGCTACCTATATTAGTTTTGATCTAATTTTCATTTCAGGCACCCGCTGTGCAGACCACAGATCTACAACTGCTGTGCCGCGGCATCTATACATCCAATAGCGAGCAATTTTGCGAGTATAGTCACTTGAATGAACCCTATTATATGCTCGGACCTTTTAGGGCCGAGGAACTGCTGATCGATCCCTACGCCTTGCTCTATCATGACGTTATTCAACATAACGAAATTCTTCACATTCAAAATGCCTTTGAACGCTGTCCGAAGGCGTCGCAATTCGAGGCGCCTGGGATCGTGAAGGGTTGCTCGATATCGGAGCGCTATAGTTCGATTACAAAGCGTGTGGAAAGTCGCATTCTAGACATAACGGGTCTCAATGAGCCAATGTTTGGTCTGCACGTTTTCCAGTATGGACTACAAGATACTTTGAAAATATTTGAGCTATTCAAAAAGTCGGCTAAGGTGCGTACTCGATAGGTAACAGCTATATGTTTTTGAAGTCAAACAATCTCTTTATTCTACAGTTTGATGACTTTAACTTTGACAATGTTGAGGCTACTGTTATTGTGTTTGTGAGTTATGTCTTATTTCCGTTATTATTCTACCTATTGCACCTATTTTCTTTGAAGTTAAATGACGTGTCTGTTGGGGGTTCTATTATTATACCAAATCGTAATATGGCGGTTCCGCAACGCCGTGGCAGTGCTTTGGTTACCTTCAACGAAGGCGATTTCGAGCATATTATTTGCCCCAATGTGGTGGGCAGTGGATATGGTGAGTAGTTGTTATTCGCCATGCGTAGATCGTCACTAACCAATTATGAATGGGTCGAATTTTCCTGCCATATAGTGCTCGTTAAGTTCCTGCATGTTGAATAATGCTGGTGATAACGAGAAGCGAGAAATTGTCTGCGATTCGTTATGGCATGTTAGAGTTTTAAGTAAATTTGGAACTTTGTAATAAACAGTTTTGCAACAACCATGAGCCGTACTCCACATCCAACTTCATCAACCTCGTCGCACCGGCGTGACGAAGACCGTCATGCGAAGAGGGAGTGGGAGGGGGAGCGTCGACGAGCGACCCGTTCGTGCTCGCCCCACGAAAAGGAAGTAGAGTGCAGTTTGCGCGGCAGTACTCGAATGTGGTTCGAGCGCTACTTATCCCAAGGCTATAATCCAGCAGATGCTCGCCACAAAGCGTTACTACAAAAGTCCAAAGCTGAATCGATATTGCGAAGAAACGCAAGCTACGCATCTATGCCCACAACCTCGAGATTTGCGCGTGGGACCAGTCGCGAGCAGAGTGAAGGAACACGTCAGATTACATCCACTGCTTCAATTTCCCACAAGATTGGCATACTGCCTGAAGGATATCCGAATGTTATATTGGACTACGAAGAGCTGACTAGTCTAGAGCAGGCGATTATGAAAGAAGTGGCCAAAGGGGCAGCACAGAAGATCATGTTTGATGGCCTCTATCAGAGACCTGGCATGATGATGATCATTTGCTCCAATACCTTTAGTATGGATTGGCTTTTGCAGGTGGTGCCGCAACTTAGTGAATGGCGTGGCAAAAAATTGGTGGCGTTAAAGAAGAGTGAAATACCTGTTTCACATACGGCTTCCATGTTTTTGCCTCGCTGCCAAGATATGGACACAAAGACGATACTCCGCTTGATTGAGGTGCAGAATGAGAACTTGAAAGTAAGGCGTTGGATTGTCACGGCATTACGGCCCGAGGGTAGGGGTCTACGGCTTACAGTGTTCATAGATGAAGCATCCAAGCTGGCAATTGCGCAGCAGGAATATACACTGCGCTTTGGATTTGGTTTCGTACAGGTTAATGGACTGCGTTCCCGTACACCCCGCCGCTCCTCGATGCTTATCGACACCACACAGAACTGAATCGACCAGTTGCAAACAACAGCAGAAGCATGCAAGTGTCTACCCGAATAGAATGGCGGTTTACAAGCTAGCGCTGGATTGGAAAATTACATTATTTTGAATCTGGAGCTAATTTTTCATTAAGGAACATTTTCATATATCATATTAAATTTAAAAACCGGCAGAATTCGATCCTATTTGCTACTGGCTGTATCTAAGTTATATTAATAAAGACTGTCGGTTCACAAGCCCCTGGGATTGGAAAATTACAATATTAGGAATCTGGAGCTAATTTTTCATACTATATTTAAAGACCATCAGAATTCGATCCTATTTCTCACTTATCGTAATAAAGACTGTCGAACATCTGAAAATATATGCTTGTTATTCCGAAAAGTTATACGGGATAATGCGACTCTCGCATGATCCGTGGGTGCTTAGTTAATTAAGTAAATGGTACCTCCTGTTAGTAGCTAGTTCCTACTGTGGCTACCAGTAATTAGTAACTTCCTTAGCTGTCTTTGCGCTACTCTAATTACCTAGATGTGTACACACATTTCAGTATTTACAGACGTAACGTCCGTAATAGTTTTATAATCGGTTGCGTTCCACAATAATTATCTTTAGTCAAGCATTATTTTAATACTTTCGTGGGTAAGATTTGGAGACCTGCGTCGTTCCCAAGTTTGTACTTCCGCCAGTTTTTATTCAACAATGCCAGCACATTTAACGCGTAGGTTCTCATTTCTGTTGTTGTTGCTGATTTTTGGAATCACCTCAGCAGCAGGACCATTTAAGCGCAAATATTATATCGCTTCTGATACAAATAAGATCGAACTATTACGGTTAGATAGAAAATTATTGGCTAATCTCGAAAATTACGCCAACGAGCTGCAGAATCGTATTGATATTTTAAAAAGGTGAGAAATAGAATTGGGATAGTATGCTCCGATTATATATACATTTATTCGTATACTTATCTTTTAGTGTGGTTAAAGAAAATCAAGGGCCTATACAGGCAGCAAAAGGTAGAGAGGAGGAGTACATGTCTAATCCACTGCTCAGTTTTCCTTTGCTGTGGAAAATTCCTGATCAATGGGAATATGTTGATAATTTGCTTAATGAACAGCTGGGGAAAGGTAAGTAGAAATAGTTCCTAACTAGACTTTGTTTCACATAAAATATTAGATTTAGTTGCGATAGCTTGAGCGGGAAGGAATATATAGCCAGTTGGTTAGCTAGCGAACTAATATGGAGTGGCATACTTCCCCATTATTCTTCCTCTTCTTGAGATATAAGAAGTTGTTTAGTGTACTTCAGTGATTTTGTTTTTGACTTCGATATGTAATGATCTGGACTTTAAAATCCTAC